GTTTCAGTTCGGTTCAGTTGGGTTCAATCAAGTCACACTTGAATTCATTCAATTTTTCCATTTTACTCATTCATTTACTCGTTCGTTTCCATATTTTAAAATAAAGGATTAATTACCCAAGTGTGAGGTTACAAACCGGGTTCTCGTCCTACCGCAAAGACCTCACAATATTCAAATCAACACGACCTCTCGTATTCACTTCCACACAACCTTCACAACAACAAAATTTGGTGCCCGATTCAATTCAACGTCACTTTCGATTCAACACAACTTTCACGACATTAAAAACTTTCACGACAATTGGGTTCAATCTGATTTGATTTGATTGAGGACAGCTTTGCTGTAACACAATCAAACTGCAGTGAAGGTTTATTTCTTTCATAGAGAGATTTATTTTTCGTCACGTTATAGTGCAATTATCGAGATAATTGATAAGTAATGGTGATGAAATACTCCGATTTCTATCATTGATTGAGTGGATTTATTTCAAAAAAAAACACACTCCTTGAGCTTATTCTTCCGAATTTGCAAACTGAACTAAACTGATTTCTCTCCGCTGATTTTATTCCTTTTGAGTTCGGCAGAGACCGGATATTATCTATGATAAAGTAAATAACAAGTCATCTAAGAGAAGTTACTGCTGAACAAAGAATTGCAAAACATGACAATAATTATTGCGGCATTATCAAAGAAAAGATATTGATTACTGTAAATGGACAATGTCATTTGGTATGTGTAGCTATGATCGCTTACAATAACTAAAGGTGAAAAATAAAAGATTATTTATAAAGGTCAAAGGCAGTTTATACAAAAGACTGTTTATAATGGTCATTGTCAGCAATTTGTAATAATCATTAATTTAGGTTTTGCAGCAAACAATTTTCGGGTTTAACGACAAAAATGCTACACTACTCTAGAAAAATATATAAAGACAACTGTTTTTTCCATTCAATTTCATAAACCAAAAAACAATATTGAGGCTTTCGAAGAAATAAAAACTCATGTTCCATATTGTACACTAATTTTAAAAAGGTGTTTTTCTTTTTTCATGACATACATTCAATGTCAATATCAATTAAGGCTTGGCAAAAAACAACCGATGCCTAAGCATTTCATTTTCTTTTTGCTTTTTTCGGTTTGCATACTTCTGTCTCTAAAAATATTCGAGAATTTCGAAAACCTTCACCCTGAATTTTAGGACATCTTTGTGGCAGATGACAATGATCGCACAATGAACAATGTTTGTATGTGCTTTTAACACACCGGCCACATCTACTGCAGTGTTTGCAAGTATTAATCTGCAAATAAAAAAGAAAAGAAAGAGTAAAAGTAGATAGATCACACTCGAAATGTGCAAATTTTTTCCTTCCATATTACGTCATTAAAAAAGGAATGATTGTATATACTTGACAAAACATTCAAAAATCTCAAAATAAGTAAAAAAAATTAATTACTTCGGAAGGACAAGTTTGGCAAAAATTACAATGAGAATTGATTTTCACGACAAATTTCGCACATTTATCACACAGTCTGAAATTTTAACTAACATTTGGATTGCAAAATTTAATCTTTTTCTGAATTAGAAACTTTTACTTGTTGCTTACAAAAAATTCTTCAATAGAAGCTGAGAAGCAGATGAATGAAAAATATCGAAAATTTTAGAAATAATAATAACCTGTAATCAGGAAGTGTTGACAAGTCGAATTCATTCAATGGAAGATCAGTAAAAATACGAACGATGGATTTCTCTGGTCGGTTATATTTTAAATGATTTCTGTAGCAAATCTAAAAGCTTTGTAAAAGTTTTTTTTTTTTTTTTTTAAATCAAGATAGAAGGAGACTAATCGAACTTGTAAGAATTTCATTTTTTCTGCATTATCACTTTTTTGTTTAATTTTTACTGTCGAAGCAAAAAAAAATTTTGCAGGCCTGAAGATAATAATATGAACTAATATATAAAATAAGCCCTAATACATTTAACTTTCATCAAGAGATAGTTGATGAGTTTAAAAGAATCAGACTATATGAAACACTGTGAAAGCAATTTGTGATTTTGAAAATGTTCGAATGCTGTTGATGTTGCGACTCACAAAGTAATGAAGGATAACTAACTCTGTAGTCCAACATATGGAAATCATTGCAATTTAGGAAGCGTTTTCCAACGAAAATTGGAAGAACAATGATATTCTTACACCAGCTATCACTAAAACATAGAAATCAAAAGTGAAACAATGAATGGAAGATAGAATACTATTCACTTTTCTTTGTTTTTTCAAAACTTACTTCAATTTTCCAATGCTACAATTGAAGAATTGCTCTCGAAGCTTTCTTATTGAATTCATCAAGGCTTCTATGAAAACACCGAAAGGAGGATCACATATCATCACCAAACGATGGACTGATTCAAAGAATGTAATAAGTTTTCTCATACTTATTGGATCGTAAAAATAATTTGCTAACATACTGTATACTGCAAAATGACTAGAACGTAGAAATGGTACCTGAAAAATCTTTTCTTTTCAATACAGAATGCTGTTAACTATGATTTTTTAAATCAACAACAACAAATATCTAAAGACCACAAGTAATTTAGAATAAAAACTAAAAAATAATATGTTTGCACCAAATTTTTCGATAATTTTCATCATAATACTTGTGAAAACTGATTTAAACTTTAGATTTGCTAGAATTATACAACAGTATAACAAATCCTGAACTCAAAAAAGGTATTCTTTCTACTAAAAAGTTTCCATGAAATAAAAGACATTGCTTAAACTTTAGCACAAATAAGGAATTAAAATGCTTTGAGAAAACAGAAGCCCTAAAGAAAAACATTACAAATCGGGCATCGATATCCAACAAAAATGATTTCATTTTTTGTCGGAGTAATTTGTGACTTTGAAAATGTTCGAATACTGTTGGTGTTCCGATACACAATAATCCATCACAACCGGACTTATCAATGGCATTTACTATTACTGTTAAAGATTCTTCCGTAAACCAATACTGCTGCAAAAAAACTCAACATCCGTTTTTTCATCCAACTTCAATGATGCATTCCATTTTTAATCCTCCATTTCTGAAGGTCTACTCATTTTCATGATTTTTGTTGAGTCTGACTCTATGGCATTTTCATGATAAGGAAAAAATGTATATTATAGCACACTAAAATATACATTGAAAGCTATTAATATCAAGCGATGCCACCCATTATTTACTACTACTTTCACCGAACCTGGAGCAATCGGTAATGTTATGGAACAGATGAAGTAAAAGCGAAACTAAAGACATAAATATTAACATAAATGAAAAAGGCATAAAAATGAAAAAACACAAATGAAAAATTTAAATAAATGAAAAAATTAACATGAAAAAAAAACATAAATGATTAACGCAAATAAACAAATTAACATGAAAAAATTAAAATAAATGAAAAAAAATTAGCACAAATGAAAAAACTGATTTAATCTGACCGAAAAAAGCCATAAGATAAGCTTACACTTTCAGAATCATTCTGTATGTGTGCGGAGAACAGTTGTGAAGGCCTTCTAAAAGAAGAGATTCCAAATGGTCCTTTGACCGGATGAGTATGTGGCAATGAAAATACATCATTGCAAGTTACACAATAGTAAATCTCTTCATTTTTTGCTCTCAATAAATTCACTCTGCAAATATCAAAATCAAAATCTTGACTTGCAAAATTTCTTTGAAAAAACCAACCTCGAGCCTGATAATTTTCAAAAAGCAAATTTTATTATATTTAAATTTCATTATTAAATCGCACAGCGCTGATGTAATCACCATTATGATTCATGATCCATTATGATCCATTATGATTCATATGAAATCAGAAAGCATACAAAAATTCCAAGTGAATCAATAAATATTTTCAAAGCATCATAGTTTTAAAATTTTAAATGTGAGCTTTGCCAAATAACAATAGTAATTTTCAGAAGAAAATTTACTTTTTTCGGATAGTAGCGTAACAAAATGATGTCGTGGCATCCTTTAAATTGTCGGAATTATGAAGCCAATTGCTTGAAATACTTTTGCAACTTATATTTAGTCGAAATGGACAATGTTTCTGAGATCGATAAACGGCACAGGCGAAGAATTTCTCTGTTGTTTGTGCAGTTTTACGTTCGAACAACAAACAGGGTCCTGAAATGATGTGAATGAAAAAGTGCCTTGAAATCACATTTAAATCAAAAAAGTAGCGTAAAAAATATTGCACAATTGTTTGAACCGCATCTGATCACAGCATAAAACTTAAAAATTATCGCCTATTGAACAGTTATGTTTGCAATAAATTAGTTTTCAACTATTCTATTGTCGATAAAAAATTAATAAAAAATAAAACTTAAAACGATAAACGGATACCATGAGAACAAGTGGGTATTTGATAGCCAATCGGATCCAAAAGTCGGAGACCCTGACGTTTCCGTAGCAACCAATCCGATTTATTTTCCACATATTTTTCTCTCCTTTTCCTTTTCATCCTATAATTTATATATAAATCTTCAAAATTATAAAATTTTGATTCAATTAAACATTGACATTAACAGGCGTCCTCTTAGTTCAACAATTACAATTAACTCAAAGTGCATGAAAATTTGCAAGTACTGTATGGAATGTAACATATCAGAAAAAAATAAAACTTCATAAACTAAAAAAAAAAACTTCATAAACTCAATTTTACTTTAAAATAAAATAAACAAACACTTCCATATGATAATGAATGACTCATAAATCCTTGTAGTTAACTAATTCAGAAATGAAATACTTCAAACCTGAATTCATAATTTCAACAATTGATAATGAAATTATATTTTGAAATAACTGGTCTATCCGTTTTCACTCAACCATATCGGGTGGGATGATAATGTTTGTATAAAAGATGTGAGAAATAAAATGGAATTAGAAGAGAGCCACGGACTGTTAAGAACAATCGTAGAGAGTGTGTTATTTTGAGGGAAAATAGAGATCGGCATGAAATGTGTCCGAGAAGGAATTGGGAACGGACGTATTGTTTGATTAAATGAATTGTATGGTAGTGGATAGCCAATCAACGTATGACTTCTCACGTGCGTGGGAAGTTCTTATGTAATAGTACATTGATTAGTAGTAATTTGATTTCCTCGAACGTGGCAGGTTGCAAGTTTTAATTAAACGTTATTGTTATAAAAGTGTGAAATTTTCAAATTATTTTTCCTGTTTATTTTCTACAATCTATTTGTAAAGAGAATTTTTATATGGCATAAAATTTTCATCGATATTTAATTATTATATTATATATTGTTCTATAATAGCGTTAATATTATTTGGTAGAATTTAACTATCCAACATTACATATCTATAGCCTGGGATAATTCCTGTAAGCAGGTCTTTTGATTAACGAGAATTTAGTTTTTTTGAAAAAAAATTCTCGAAATGACATAAAGAAGTGATGTGAAAGAAGTTTTTTTTAACTAAATTTCCTTTCTCTCTTAGCATTTTTGTCGGGATAAGATAGCATGCTTTTAAAGAGAAATGAAAGATTGATGCGATGCGAGAGAATGAAACGCAAGAAATGAAAAAAAAAGTGGAAAAGATAACGTAGTAGAGTGAGAAATGTGAGAGAAAGATGCAATAATCTGTTGGTAAGGATTGGAGAGATTTGATAATTTCCTTTTGCAATTTTGGTAATTAACGTGGAAAATGAGAGGGAATTGCAGTTACCATAGATAGAGTAGAGAATGAAAAAAATTGTGAGAGATAACGAAAAGTGTTAATTATGGCAGGGAGGAAGAGTGAGGGTGAGGCGATGATCCATTACTTAGATAGTTTCTAATTATGGACGTTCTGAGTTCGTGGTGCTTGATTAACAGTTGAATTGCGGGCTGTTTTATAATTTAAACGAAAGTTTAATATCCAGAGGATGTGACGACTGGTAATTTAAACTGAATAATTAATTTTACTTTTGTCTTGTTTCGTTTCTCATTTTACATTTAAATGTATCAGAACGTTGAAAAATGAGAAGAAACGACATATTAATGAGAATAATTGAATTTTTTTTTTGAAATTCTATGAAATTTTGCAAAAACTTAATTTTTTTTAGAAAAATAAATGTGATATGGATGTAGATGCAATCGAAAAGGAAGCACATGCAGCAGCATTGGTACAGGTTGCACAAATGTTCCAAAGGCCAGATCAACTGGAGAAATTGGATGCATTCAAAAAAAGAGCTGATAGAAAAAAGGTAAATCTCGACTTTGCTATTTTTTTCGGCACAAAAAATATTTACTCTAACGTTGAAGTAAGATTACGTATTTTGAAAAGATTTGCTAAACCATTGGTTATCCTTTTGTTTCATTCCATTTCTCATTTTAGATTTAAATCTACTGAAGCGCGGAAAGGGAATTTTAGAAAAAAAAATAGACTTTTTTTCTGGGAGTTCCATGAAATTTCTATTTATCTTCTTTTTAAAGAGAAACCTTTCCACAGTTTGCAACAGTGATCATCTCATCATTAGCAATTAAGTTAATAAAAAGAGAAAGAAAAGAAATTGAATGCAAAATGTTTTAGACTGCTGTAGAGGCAATGCTTCGAACCGGCGTGCAATCTCAGCTGGAAGGCATTAGAACAGCTATAGGGCATTTATCCACAACCGTTGAAGATATTAAAGGAGTTGAAACAAGGTGAGATTATTCATAAGAATAACAGTTATTTTAGGTTCCAATAATTTCCACTGCGAAGTGTTAGATTTTCTATTTTGTTTTTCTTTTCTTTTTTTGGATGGGGGAGGCGAGAGGAAAAAACTTTACCAATATTAAAAGTGAACGGTGATTTTTTTCATATATTTGTTGTTGTTTAGGTATTAATTACTCTTCTTAATCTATTCTATTCACTTTGATCCCTTCGTTTTTTCTAAGTGGAAATTCCATTATTTAATTTTTCTTGCTTCGATTAAGCGCTTATTTAATATACTTTGCTACTACATTACCTTATTTTATAGCTTAGGATATTATATTGTTTACATTTCAGTCTTTTCTCATGTTAGCATCATACTGTGACAATCAACTAAGCAATCCTAACTTAGAAAATATGGCACATGAAAGTGAATAAAAACTGTTTCGTGTTAATTTTTTAACATTTCATGTTAATCAATGTTATGTTTATTTCTCATATTTTTTAGCTTGAGTGTGAGTTGTCTTGATTTTTATTTTATTCTCACATTTTTGTTAAAACTTTTTTTGTGTTTGTAGTTTGCAGGAAATTTACACAACATTGCTGGCATTTCCTGAGTTGAAGCAGAAAATGGCAAAATTACGAGAAGCAAACATAAAAAATAGTCAATATGCAACTTCAATAGGACATTTGCAACATATTTACGAAATTGGTAAAACAATCGAAAAGACACGCGAGTACATCCAAGACGGAAAACTGCTTCTGGCACATAAAAAGTTAGCGGATTAATGAATACATTTTCTCTTTCTTTTTTAAAACTAATGGGGATATTTATGATAAAATTCCTTATTGAAGTTTATGTATAAATAATATACCATCTACTTTTTTCATTTTCCATTTTTTTTTACTTTCTTAGTAGTATAGTTACTGTTGAGCGATCCAGAAAAATGTTATAGCGCAGTCTTTTTTTTGTTACAGCATCATGGAAATGGAGCATGCACGTGATGATTTAATATACGAAGTGCATAAATTACAACAGAGTAATGTTAACTACGAGAAAAACGTATGTTTTTACTCTGAGTGTTCTATTTAAATATGATTATAAGAACCTGCTTCTGCCTTTTATCCTCTAAATATAGTATGCAAAACGTCAACTGTGGTATATTGAAAGAAATTAAAAGGGGAAAAAGTTTCTTCTTACTTATGATATCGAAAATGAAAGCATCTGGAAATATATAACTTTATTTACTTGGAATTTAATTTATTTTTTTCAAAAATTATTAAAAAAGTCAAAAACGATAGCTTTTTTCAGCTATTGAAGACGTATTTTTTGGATCTTGATAAAGTTATCCAGGAACTTGCAAAACAGTTGTGGTACATCTGCTCTCGGTGCCTAGAAGCAGTACGTGGTACGGAACAGGGTCCGATGCAGTTAGTTACTGCCCTTCGCATTATTGAACGTGAAGAGAGGTATTTGAAAACATTTGCTTTTATTTGAAACTTAAATTTTTGTATAACTTTGGCAGTTATTTTTTGTAAGATCATCAAAACTTGATCATCCAATGCGTATATTTACTAGTGATGATGATGATGTAACTAAGTTTCCATCCTACAAAATAAACTCATAATTTTCTGTTTGCACATCATAGCTTAATCATAGTACTTTCTAATATAATTTATTCGTTTTACTGTTCTCATTATTTTGCATTATTTTTTATTCAGATTAGTTTTAGGATTGATCAATATTACATAGATCGGCAGTCATCTACCAACAACTTTATGCCACCTGGTAGACCTCGTAAATGGCGTCAGAAATGTTTGGAAGTAATTGCCAACACAGCGAAACAACGAATCGAAGGTAATCAATTGGAAGATCGATCGCTGAACAGACAATGGCTTGCTAGGTAACTTTTGTTATTTTTTAAATCGAGCATAGCGGGTTACCCGAGAGTAGTAAATTTGTAACACTTTGCATTTTCTGTTTGATCCTTGAGAAGTTATGTTCTTAAGTTTTAATCATTATATTGTTGGCATGTTTTAATCTCGTGAAGTCTTTAGCTTTCGGAATCTCAAGTATTACAATTCTGTAGTGTTTTAACCGTATGAATTGTTTTATTTATAAGATTTTACTTTCAGATATTTGGAAGTTTGCCGCCTCGTACTAGTAGATGATTTGATGGTGGCGAAAAGTGCAGCCTCACCATGTTTTCCACCATCTTATGGAATATATGATCGTTTCGTAGCCATATATCATAATCTCTTATCGGGGCGTGTTCGTTTTTTATTGTATTTTTTAAATAATATTCATTTGAAACTGCCTTTTTCTCTTTCACGATGTTAATTGTTTTATTCTACCATGTTAATTTTTGTTTTTATTCTACATTATCATGAAGAATGAGAAATATGGTAGAATGGAAGTTTTATTAGAAAGAAAGAGGCTCAAGCTAAAATCAATAAGTTTTGTTTTCCTTTTTTCAGCTTCGCGAAATCGCTTCAGACAAACTTGAAAAAAATGAGCTTGTGCAGCTTCTTAGTTGGGTTAATTCTTATGGGTGAGTTTCAAGTCTTTGTTATTCATCTTACTGCAAATCTCAGAAAAGGTTCACAGGATGGATTTTTTTTTTCCAGTAGTGATCAGATTTTGGGGAATCCGCGATTGCAAATCAATACAACTGCGCTGTTGGCTGATCATCCTCTTTTGTCGAAATCCACTGTTACTGAACTTTGTGACAGGTCATTGTTTGAATTTTCGATGGTTTAATACACAACATGTTAATACACAACATGCTGAAGTATTATTATTGTTTTCTGTTCATTCTCTTGAGATAAGAGTAAATTTTGTTTAAATTGTTGATTGCGTTAGCAGCTTAACAGCCATAGCATAAAGAGCAACGATTAAAAACTAATGAAATCGAATAATGGTATAATCTGTTCAGATTCATTGAAATAACACGACGAGATATGCATGAATGGCTGGAAAAAACTTTGATGCAAGAGAAAGATGTTAGTTTTTTTTTTTCTAAACTTATGTTTACGACATAGACCATGTATTTGATGAATTAAACTCCTGTTTATCTGATTGTTTAATCCTTAAATATAAAGATTCTTTAATCTAGGATTGGTATAAAGATGTACATCCAGAAGAGGAAAGATTGGGATATTTTTATACACAATTGCCAAGCATTCTTTTTGGAATGATTGAGGATACGGTGCGTTTTCTTTTGTTTTAATTTGGCTAACCTATTTTGTTATATTTTGGAATTTCTCTGGCTAATTTCTTTTCAGATTTCATTGACGAAAGAAGTTTCCCATGATATTATACCAAATGTTGTGGAAGTTAGTGTTGATGAATTCCTTAATTTTGCGAACAAATATAAAGGTATAATTTTCGATACAATGTATTCTCTATGCAGTACTCAATTGTTTTGTTCATTTATCCATTCATTCAGTGATGGAATATAATGATTTTACCAGTCATATTCATGTGTACAAAATACTTGTGGGGAAACCTTTTATCGAATAAAAATGTTTCCAGATGCTGCTGCAGCTTACAGAACCAAACATTTTGAAAATCGCAGTCATTTCAAGGAGTTTACTGCTACAATGGTAAATTTCCAAATGCTTTTAGAGTTATTGCTATAGCATTTTAACATTTGCTTTTTAATGGCAAAAAATTGTGTCGAAGGATTTTTTTTCTTGGATTTTTACTCTCAAAATTTAATTAAAATTTAATAGTAATTCCATCGCGAAAATTTCTAATTTACAGATTGCTGTGGCTAATAATTTGGATATATGTACAGAATCGACAGAAAAATTAAAGCAACATATCAGACTAACAATGGAAGCAGATGTTTCACCTTCTAATTTATCGAATGCTGATGCTCCTAGTTCAGCGCAGTCCAGTAGGAGTTCATCCATAATGGTAGTTTCGAGGCAAGCGCTACTCGATAAAATTGATCAGCTGAAGAAGCGTTGGAATATTGGAATGCAATCGGCGTAAGTCTTTTAATTTCTTTTATTATGTAAGATCTCTCTAAATGGCTGATTATTATTAACACATTATTGTTGTATACTTTCTTATTAAATTTCCTTTTCATCTTGGTCATCCTAGTCATTGAGAAGATCTGTCAGATTTATAATTTTCATTCTGTTCTATTTTTTATTTTGTCTATGTCAGACAAAGTTGAAATTTTTAGAGTGGGTACCTTGCTTGATGAAGTCAACGAGGACATTGCTCGACATCTCGCTGAAATCTTAACAAAAAAATGGTAACTTATTTACTTGTTTGTAAGAACTGTCTGATCATTGAACACAAAGGCCTCCTGTTAGTGCTTAACACTGTGTTGGTCCTATGCATTAAGGTTTTAAAAGATCTATAATTCTATTTATTTGCCTTTCGGTTTAATCAGCCCATCAGTTTTGTCGTTTTACAATGATTAAAGCTTTTAGCTGCATATAGCCTTCCGCGCTTTAGCGATGCCAAAAATTGAATTACTGTGACGATTTAGTGATTATGCCAGACGTTATAAAAAAAATCACATTTCATTCACGGAATTCATTTTCAAATATGTGAATTAAGGTTGCAGGCTAGTTCATAATTTTGAAAAATATTGAAATATTAAAATTATGAAATGCTGGAAATAATAACAAGTCGGTCTGATAAGTAACTACGAAGATCAAAAAATTTCACCTGTCCCACAAGCATATGTGAGGCTGAAATGGATGAATCTTGCTTTATTAATCCAATTACTTTTTCAATTTTCAAAATTTAAGGCTTGGTGGTTCGTCAGCTTTAGAGACGATCTGTATGACAGTTGCAGATTACTACAGTGATCACAAACATCTTCGACCCCATATTCGATGCGCTTTGTTGATGGAAATTCAATATAAAATTATTGGTGAATATATGATTGGCATTGACAGCAGGTAAAATGTTTTGGGAATTCTTTTTTAATATTAAAAAAAAGATTGTTCAGTCTTAGAAAACGGAACGAATTTTTTCCTGTGTGTTAAAATTAATCTTTTTTTGTAAAGAATGAGAAAATTCAAAGTAATTTGAAGTAAAATTCGAAGTAAAGAATGAGAAAATTCAAAGTAATTTGAAGTAAAATTCAAAGAAAATTCGAAGTAAAGAATGAGAAAATTTTTACATTTTAATAGATTCGATTGCTCATATGTTCTAGTAACTTTGTTTTATACCCGAAACAAAAGAGAATGATCATTAAAAACAAATCTAAAAGTGGAATATTGTAAGTATTTAGAGCAATTTTTTTTTTGATTTTTTAGGCGACTATCACTCGCAAATTATGACGATCGCTATGGGGCATCTCAATTATTGAGACGTGATGGTGAACGAATAGCGCAGCTTTTTTCAAAATTACTGAATGATGTTGACGTCACGGTGGTGTTTTAGTTTTTTTTTTCGCAAGAAATTTTGATTTTTTAGTGTAACTATTAGTAATGTTAACAATTAACACTAACTGTTAACACGCTAGCACTTAAAATATTTTGGCTTAACAATTTGAGAGAGATGCGGTTACTGGCTGAGAGGATTTAAGTTATTAAAAAGATGAATTAATGGCAACTCAACGCCTACCTTACATTTCTTATAAAATTGGTGAAATGGAACTTGATTTTAGTAATTTTTACTTACTTTGCAATTAAACTATCGTTTATTTTAGTTTACCGATTTAACAGTAGTTCTCACAGCTATGTCAGAAGTGCTGAGTCTACGAGATAAGAGTTTATTGGCTTTGGAAACCACAACACTGGTTCGCAAATTTCCCGACATACATGTGGAACTTCTCAGCGCCTTAATACAAACTCGTGAAGATATGGGACGTGTGGAAGCAAGGTAAAATTTTTCACTCTGATCTTAAACAGTAATTTTATTGATGGTACTTGCCAGATAGTAAGTGTAATTGAGTACGCATTTATAATGGAAATTTTGTTGCAATAGATTTGTCTTAAAAAAAAATTGCATTTTTTTCTGTCTTTCTTTATATAACTCACTTTTCTTTCAAATTTTAAATTTTCAGTAATCGGCATCAAAATTGCATTTTTTAATAGCTGTATCCTTGTTGTTGTATTTCCGAAATTATATAGTTTATCAGTTTGTATATTGGATATGCATGATGTTATCCAAAACATCTTTTGCTTCTATAATCACATCGAAATATTTCTTAAATTCCCACCAGTGGGGTTTCACGGAAGTATATATTGTTGTTATCCGTCTGTAGTTGCATTGTAACTGCCAGCATAGTATTCTTCTGTTGTTTTAATTTAAAAGCTTAAAATACTGTTTTTATTAGAGCTGTTGATTTCAAGAGAATTAGAGCTTAAATTTTTAAAGATAATTAAAATTTCAACTTAACATTAGAAATTATAAGTAATTCGCGTAATGTGTTCAATTTTGCTTCGGTAGAATTGCAATTTTTTTTTGATTTATGCGAAAATATTTAGTTCAAATTATAATTTCTCTGAAATCACCATAGTTTACTAAAATGCTGTTTCTGAAAAGTTCTTTTTAAAAACTGCTTGTATAAAATTCAAAAGGAGAAAATGCAAATTTGTCGGATTCTGGATGACAAATCATGTTACTGAGTTGTACTCATACCAAAGTTTTATCTTTATTTTAAGCAAAGCATTTGTGATTTCCGGTAGTTTTCCGTCCATCCAAACTATTTTCTTTGCAGGGTCGTAGTAGATTTATTGAATCTCATTATACTTGAAGAAATTTTCATTAATATTCATTTTTGGTTTTTGCTTTCTCTTTAATTATGATTAATTGTATTACCCTAATATGACTTAATTCTAAAGACAATCGAGTATTTGTAGGAAAAGATGAAACAAAATGTTAATTTTGATAACTGACATACAAAAATTGTCAAAGATGACGATATTTTCTCTATTTGAAATGCCTTTTTTGATACTTTTTTTTGTTAAAAGCATACTGTTACTAATAATTTGTAATCTGACTTCTGATTTGGTAACGAAAATGCAATCGAACCTGCAAGCACTAATCAATAATTCTATAATTCTATTGACATGATAAGGAACTTTTCAGTTCAGATGGACAACCGAAGTTGATTGTTCTTTATTTTTTTGTACTCATTGTTTCACTAGATAATTTGCTTGACCTGATGCTGAAATGATTATAACAATGGTTTTTTTTCTTTTACAGAGCAATGGCAGAAGACACAATTGGACACGTGAAACATCATCCAAAAGGAGACGACGTATTTGCCAAATTGTTCCAAGCTTGTAAAACAGGACCAAAGAGAATATTTCGGTTAGAGGATACAATGGAGCAGATGTTTGTAAAGTTGATATAATTTTTTTTGTGAAAATTTATCGATCTGTATAGATTTTTGATAAGTTTGTTAAAATTGCATGGTATTTTGGTGTGACTAATTGAAGAAGATCCTTAGTAATTCAGAATAAATGTTTCAATTTATGAAAAGGAAATTTATTAATGTAAGAGCAATTTCATTTATTGTAAATCAAAAATGGGTTTCAGCATTAATGAGCATTTAAGAAGGTGGATTTCAGGAAGAGGTGTGAAATTACGCAGTGAAAAGATACTGTACTTGCTCCAAATTCCTATTGCTTATCTTTATTTTAATTTTGGACAGAATTTCGAGACGGCTTGTTAACTCTGCTTTATTAACTTCCAAATATCTTCAAGCAAAAAAAATATCGGCCAACGAAAATTCTGATAATTCATAGTAATTATTGGAGAAGGAAAGATTATTAAAGGCATATAAAAATTAATGCTTAACAATTTATGAAAAAACGGGTGATAAATTTAAAG